AGAGTCAAAACACTGATTAGCGAATGAAATGTACTGTGAAACATGAATAGCCATCCTTAATTACAGACAGTACAACATAGAAATGTACAGTGAACACCTGAATACCCATCATTGATTATAAACAGTACAACCTAGAATGTAATGTAAAAGGGAATTCTGAGCAGAGCGAGGCCCGCCGAAAAAAACAGTCATACACGCTACCTAATCTACATGATACGACAGTCCCCGGTAAGAAAGTTACCGAATAATTCTCGAACCCTGTAACAGCATTTGCAAAACTTAGGTAATCCGTACCAGCCCCAACTATGTCAGGGTCGCCATGCAGACAAGTATTTTATAGTCCCCGAGATCACATGGGACAGGTCCAGGGAATCTGGTAACTAGGTTCGACTCTGCCGAAGCGGAGATCCTAATACCAAAGTACCATCAGACCGAGACACCTGTAGAAAGGTCGTGGGACCAAACAAACACAGGCGTCTTCGTGTCGAACATTCCTGGAGGTAAGCGTCCATCACTGAGCAAACGGGTCTGTCAGCCAGCTGAAACTGGTCGGGGCCTGATGGGTCCTCCTCTGCGGACTAAAATCTTGACACCGGGTCCTCCCTGAAAAACTATTCCACACGTACGAGAACTCGGGCAGGGGGAAGGGAAAAGACGAAAAGAATCTCTTCAGCTAGTTCTGGTATTCCTGAATGCCCTAAATTCCTCCCAACCTGCCAACCAGGTTGTATTAACACCCAAATGAATGATGCACCAGATATTTATCTCACCAGGAAGAAAAATGGATATACGTTCAATCGTAGACTAGTGCGGGGACACCAAGGGGCTCAGATCCCTTTATCCCAAGCACCTCCCGCGGTCCAAATTGCGTTTAAGATAGGGCCCCGAATCCCCAGACTCGGGCCCCCATTTGGCCTGTCATCCAAAAGTGGAGGCAAATGTGAAATTCCAGGGCCAAGGGTCCAATCCCCTATAAAGGTATGGGTTGGAGCCCTAGATATGCCTCCATCAAGTATTTCCATATAAAAAAGGGCACATATTATACTTCCTCGTATGTTCTACTAGCACAACTCACTCGTGTAGAGGAGAACAATCGGCTTGCCAGTGCGGACTTAAAAGTAGAGTATAGGCACTACAGCGGGCCGCACTCAGGATCTCCTGTGTACTAGACGGTTCTTTGACCAGCAAAACTGAAGCGCCCCATCTGGGTCTAAGTCTGGGTACGAGGCTACTTGTTCGGGAGCAATGGATCGAGGGTCGAACAGGGGTTCATTTAAGGCGATCCACAAGACGACCTCTTCTTCCACGTTCGTCAGGGCCCCTGTAGTGGGTTTTGTTCTCCGTCTCATGGGGCCATCATCATAGTCCGCACCCCCATCGTCCTCTCCCTCCGAGGGGGACCGGTCCACCCACCATTCAGCTAGGGTGGCCATGGTAGGGGGCAGGGAGGATTACGGGGTCCTCCACCCCCACGCCACATACGCAGTGTCGTCTGGCTGTCAAGGCTGATCATATCAGGGCTAGACGCTTCTCCGGAGTCTAATCTTTCCAGGCATTGGGTTCCAGGCCTTCCCCTTCCAGTAGTGCTTAGGCGCACCTGCCTGCTCTCATCTAGGAGCATCTGACTCATTCAAGTCATCTGCCTTTTTAAAAAGGTGGTCACTGCTGCGTTCGGAAGTCAGTGCCTCGCCCGCGCCATATAGGCAGTGCCGTCTGGCTGTCGAGGCCGATCGCAGCGGGGCTAGCGCTCCTCCGAAGTCTTCTCTTTCCGGGAGCCTGGTTCAGGGCCTTCACCCTTCCAGTAGCGCTTATGCGCACTTGTCTGCTCTCCTCTAGCAGAGTCCGACTTATTCAAGTCGCTGGTTCAGGGCCTTCACCCTTCCAGTAGCGCTTATGCTCACTTGCCTGCTCTCCTCTAGGAGAGTCTGACTCATTCAAGTCGCCTGCCATTTAAAAGGTGGGCCCTCTAGCTTTTCACTCCTGATAAGCTTTAGGGAGGACCCTGGCCGAGCACAGGCAATGACATGGTAGTCATTGCCTGCGCTCTTTTCCCGGATAAGGGTTCTCCCGTGCAGCGGTCCCAGGCAAAGTGACCTCTAGGAGTATAGAGGACAAGTATCACCGGCAGGAAAATCGGGGCAGCACCTCATATTGTGACCAAGGCAAGTTTGGCTGCGCATGCAATGCACAAGCGTGAGTATGTGGTAGTAGGCTTGGCATGCAGACATTCTGGCACAGCCAGTACAGGCCAGATCAATGGGTCACAGACAATGCAGGCCAATCAATGGGGCACAGACAAAGCAAGCAGTAATGGAGAATTCGTATAATCCATCGTAATAGCAAGATCCACTGGTGGTACAGATTGGCAGGCCCGTGAAGGTCTCGTTAATATTGGGCCTTGCACCCAGAAGAGAGGTCCTCCGCCTACATGCACCCTTGGTAAACCAAAGAGGTGCGTGGTGCTTTAAACCATCTAGTCTGTCTAAGTAACATGCGCTCCAGGTAAGGGGCAGCAACGCTGTAGAAAAATAAACAGGGATGCCTGTCGCGATACTAGCATCAGAGGCGGTAAATAAACCATGTATCAAAACAGGCATCTAACATACCTATAAATATATAGTAAAATAGCAGGGTCTCCGCGTCACCGACTCCCAACACCCAGTGGAGCCGTCGAGGACCAACACTAGGTAGCATAGGCAGGATACAGAGGTGATTTGGTGAAAACGCCAACTCACCGTATAGTGGATAGACCCAACAATTATTAACTAGAATACTAAACAGCAACCGGACCTATAACGTAATCCGAGGTCAAGGGCGTAATCCGAGGTCTGTGTCAATATATATAGTCTGCTCGCCCATCTAAAAGTACGGGCACTGTACACAGGGATGGAAAAAACCTGAAAACCGAACACTAGGTCTCAGTGAAGCAATAGAGGGTGACATATAACGGGCTCAGAATCTAAGAGGGAAGCCTATTCTAACCCAGTAGGGGGACAAAAACGTATAAGTGCTAATAAATCAACATGCAGAAAAAACAGAGCCCTGAAATCAAACCTCCTATGTATATGACCAAAAACATCATGATGCCAAGGCAAAGAAATGCCTGCCTTAAACAGTAGATGGGATTAAGTCATTACTTATAAATATCTGATCTGATTCTTGAGTCAGAATGTATACCCCTGGTGGGATTAGAACACCCCTGTTTCCCACCTATAGATTCTAGACACTGCTCACTGCGCCACAAGGGAGCTGCAGATGAGGCTATAATTATGACATATACTATCCATTATGCAATCAGTTTCCACCTTTAATACGTCCGTGGGGGGTTCAGTCCCCCCCACAGAGCAAACACATGCTCGTTTTCAATATGAAGGGCACTGCAGGATATAGCATCCAACCAAATTGTACCTGTGCCTATGTAACCAAAGGCACTATTGCGGCAAAGTACCAGATTGTAGTGTAATAATATGAGTGCTAGGACATGCAGCTGTGAACACAGTGGAATTAATCACAAAAGATTCCACCAACAGTGAAATAAATATATAATACAAAGATAAAGTGATTAGCGCAAAATTGGAGTAATATGAATGCTCTAACTCCCAGAGCTTGACACCACCATATGTGTTAGACAGGTGAATTATAGTTATACCTGTATACAGTATAATTCCTTCTCCAATAATGGAGGCAACAGAAACAGGTATTCCTGTATGGTATAAAAAGGAGAACTCATAGGATAACACTGTTATAAAAGAGGGTTTAATTTAAAACTCTGTATGGTCCAACTCACATTTTTCTGAGCCTGTTATATCGAAACTGGCTCAGGTAATATCACTTTAAATGCAATGTGCAGATCCAGGTGAGTTGGAGATGATCCCTCAGAAAATAATTGTGGGAAAGGCAACACCAGATTAATATAAAATCACAATATTTATTACAAAAAATATAAAAAGCCTTACATTAAGGTTTTCTGGAGTGCCATTCCTTCAAAGAGTAAAAGCACAACGTGTTTCAACGCTTGGATTTGCGTCTTCCTCAGGTGCATAAACTTCTAGTGTACAATCCCTGTTTATAAATGTCTTTTGGCGCTTTATTTCACACTATACAGACATCCCCCTGCTCTAATTAACCTATCAGAGTCATCCTGAACTTCCAGTGTGCTGGCAATCTGCATTCTGATGCTGAATGACATCACTTCCGGATTTACTATGAATGAGTTCCAGCGGCCATTTTCATGCGTTCCACCTTCGGTTTTGTGTTCCAGTAGCCATTTATATGTGTTCCACTGACACCAATGCTCATATTACATATTAAAATCATCTCAACATTGCATATACTGGGTTTTGAAGTGTCAAAGTGTTACATATTATTACACAAGCTTACTTTCAGGATGGGAATTATTAATAAAAGGCTTTCTTAATAACAGAGGTTTTTCTCATTAAAATTACATGAAACAGGGGGGCGGGGCTTGAATGCCAAGCTGAGTGGACGCATGTGGGCACAGCTCCTGATCTGAAAACCACAAACAATGGTGGAACTGCACAATATAACCCAGAAAAGCAAAAATCGGGTGACAACATGACTGGCAAAGAGGAGCTGTTCACTCTGATGCCACGCAAGCGATTTTTAATGCCGGAATGCCGAGATCAGCAAATGAGGCCTAGCATGACAAGATGCCTGAATGCCGGGGAAGGCGGACGATCTCCCGACATGGGGTCAGCACCGCACAGCTCTCCAGTCTCCCCGTTACCCCCCCTATGGACCGATGGGGGATATCCCGGTCCACACCTGGGACTCACACTTACGTGCCACAAAAGACTATCATGTCCTGAAGGGAGTCGCACGAGGCACCCAAGATGGCCGCCATGCAAACCTAGCAGAAGACAAACGAGGACCCAGAGCTCCAGCGTTGGAGAAAACAATTTGAGCTCCGGTTCGAGCGACTCTGCAAAGCCTTCTGGAGGCACCTACAACTCAGACCTCGCTGCAAAGCCTCGCCCACCATGGAGAACAAAGCAGCAGCCTGTCCAACCAGCTCTGGACGGGAGGCCCATACAAGGGCGAGCACACCAAACCACCTCAGCAGCCAGACGGCCCTCCGCACACAACGGAGCTCTGGGACCGAGGCTCATCGATCGAGCGGAGCGAGATCAAGCCACAACCAGTGGAACAAAGCGACTCTGCCTCAATCTGACCCCACTCTGATAGGCATAAAGCAGAGGAATACTGGGCTTAAGCCACAAGCGGCATGGCGGAGGGCAAAGCGGAGGCCCTGCACCGACACCCAACATGGACGGCCTGCTTCCTGTACATCTCGCAGCGCACATGGGCCACAACTCCCCATGGAAACACCCTCTTTTACCAAACGCTTCGACGGATGACCCTCACCCTCCACAAGCGACGGAACACTCACAGAAGTTCCAGAGAACAAGCCTGCAAGCAACCACATGAGGGACTTCTGCGATGGGAGAAGGGAACTGCTCCAAAGCGGGAGGCCAAGAAGGCATAGTAAAGTGGGACTCTTGTAATCCATATCGCAGGGCCAGCTGGCAAGTAGTGAAGGGCATAGGCTAAACACTGTCTTAATCCTAGGAGCCATGTTGTGAGGTAGTCTTAGAACCAGGTACAATAGAGTCTAATTGTTTGCAATATACACTTGATTACCCAGGTATACTCATATGCATTTACCGCTAAGCCAAGCGTCAGCTAACCGTGAAACAATGTAAAGCATAGCCAGATACCAAACTTAGTCAGCATGCCTATTACAGGGGTTAGCTTTTCACTGCTGAATATTGCTTTCATTTCTAAACCATGTACTTACATTTAAGCAGTCAGTTTACAAGCACAACCTAAGTTTTATGCTAACTCAAGTTATTACTGTTATTATTATAATGGCAAAAGTTACACTTGTCTGTTTCACATGTACATGATTATCACTAATGTCATTACGCATAATATCTCACTGCTGACCATGCGTATACATCTTGTTTAAAACACAAAATTTGCAAATCAATCCTGTCATGATGATATGTGCTTTCATATGCCTGATTGTGCTATCGTGGCACCACAGGCCTGTTTGTTAACCTTATTGCACGAAAAAATAAAGAATAAAAAAAAAATAAAAATACATGAAACAGAACAGATGAAAAGAGAGAGAAGGAGAGAAAAAAAGAGAATAAAAATTAACCATTTGTATACATATTGCACTGTTTTCACCTTGCACATATACATATATATGTATACACATTACATTATAAAATCCAAAACATCTAAATAAAGTTATACATTTCAAAGTCTATATTAAGACCATAAGGGGAGAGGGTTTCTAAATCAAAAATCCACCTCATTTCTATTTTGTTTAAAATCTTAATAAAGTCTCCTCCTCTCCAAGGTTTATTTATTTTTTGGATACCAATAAAATTACAAGTTTTAGAATTAAAAGTTGTATTTCTTAAACTGTATACTTTGTCTTTAAGAGATATTGCAAATTGAAAAGGTGTTAGAAATGGAACATATTGTTTTTTTATAACTGTTTCTTTAAGCAATAACCTCTTACCTACCTACAGTGCATAATATGTTTGCGCCATTTTGTCCCAGACGAATAACAACAACAATAATGCATAAACAAGCTTCAAGGCTATGCTATGACTCTTTCAGTACACAATATACTGTGGTAACCTTAAGTAGATAGGGATGTTCAGATTTTAAGATGCCATCTTGAACTAAGTCAGGAAAATTTCTATGACGTATGCACTCTTTAGTTATGGACTCGTATATTTGCCAAATTAAGGGAGGTCCTAAAATGAATAAAGTAAAAGAAGTGTTACTTTTTCATATATGAACTACAGTAACCCTAAAATGGAGACACCTAAGGTATAAATAGGTGTACTTTTAAATGTAAAGACACAGAGGAGAGACTTGGAGACAGACGCTGCTCCATCTTAAAATAACAGAGAGGCTACATGATGACATGTTCAGAAGGGTATGTTAACCTATTAATGATATTTGCAAGCATTTAGTTTAATCTTATAAACTCTGCTATAATGGATTTTTTATGTATATATTTATATTTTTATATAATAAATATCTAAAAGACAAAACTATTGCTTCCAAGACAATACTTATTTTATATTGTATTCTCAATTATTTATATATGTTAAATAGAGGATCTCTTACACTAACTATATAAAATTATGGCTACGATATCTGTATGGTTAGCCCTACTAAGTTCTATGCTTTAATCCCTTAAGGACACAACTTCTGGAATGAAAGTGAATTGAGACGGAATATTTCCGTCATGTGTCCTTAAGGGGTTAAGACATTATAGTGGTAAATAAGGGAACCAGCCGCGGTTACAAAATCAATAGAGAAATAAACAGATGAATGCAGAAATGCAGTATAAGTAAACAAATCAATACAGTAAAAACTGATAAATACCGTAAATACAATAAATAAAGAAATCAATACAGTAATAACTGTTAATACAGCGCCATAATACAACAAAGAAATCAATACAGTAATAACTGTTAAATACAGCACTATAACATAACAAATAAATCAATACAGTAATAACTGATAAATACAGCAACTATAATATAAGTAATAACTCAATACAGTAAAAAGCAGCAGCTAAAAGCATTAAATACAGTAAAATAATCCACAGCCACCCGAAGTAACAGGAGGCAGTGGTACTCTGACCTGTACTGACTGCGGAGCAGGGCCAGATTAAGAGCCCAGTGGGCCTGGTGCTGACAATTATGATGGGCCTAATTACAAAATCTTATTGACCAAAAACACTAAAACAGCCCTACCTCCCAAGCGTCATGTATCTGATGGAGATGGTGCTGGAAGGAAACTCATAGGATGCAGCTATGAGAAAACACATACCCTATGCTAATTTCACGCTTTCATCTTTCAAGTAAATCCATACCCCTTAAAAGCAGTGTCCAGTAAAGCAGGAAGTCTATGGATGGGGTAAAAGGGTGGGCCACTGACGCAAATCACATAATCAGAACTGCCAAAAGGGACGAACATACACAAAAAGGGGGCATGTCTATGTCCCCATGTCGTCCAATCCCTTAGTGTCTGTGTCCCCATGTCTCCCAGTGTCCCCATGTCACAAGGACACAAGGGGACATTGAGAGAAATTGTGACACTAGAAGACATGGAGACATGGAGACTCTGAGAGACATCGGGCACTGAGACACTGTGATACATAGGGGACCCTGGAGACATGATAAAGACCTGGGTGCAGGTCAAAATGTTGTGGTATCCAATAAACCTGCTTATTATTATTATTATTATATTGTTTATATAGCGCCATCACATTCCGTAGCGCTGTACATTGGGTTAAATCTATCACATTGAGTGCCTGAGATTTGTGTTTATTTTATACTAGGGGTCACTGAGACACTTGGGGGCACTGTGAAACATAGGGACACTTCGAGACTAGGGGACTCTGGAAGACTAGGGACAATAAGGACACTGAGAGACACCAGGGACACTGAGACACTCTGATACATAGGGGGCACTGTGATACATAGGGGACACTGGAGACTTGACAAAGACCTGGGTACAGGTCGAAACATTGCGGTGTCCAATAAACCTGCTTAAATCTATCACAGTGAGTGCCTGAGATTTTTCTTTTATACTAGGGGACACTGAGAGACATGGGGACACTGGGAGACTAGGAAACACAGACACTAGGGACTCTGGCACACTACGGACTCTGAGAAACCAGGGACACTGGGAAACATGGGGATACAGAGATACTCAGAACACTGGCTGGGAGACATTGGGACACTGGGAGTGCCCCATGTCTCCCAGGTCTCAAAGTTGCACAGGGTCCCCATGTCTCTCAGTGTCTCAGTGTTCCCATGTTGCCCAGTGCCCCCTAGTGTTTGTATCCCCATATCTCCCAGTGTCTCTTAGAGTCTGTGTCCCCATGTCTGTGTCCCCATGTTTCCCACTGAGAGACTAGGGGCCACTGGGAGACATGGGGCTACTGTGTCCCTAGTGTCTCATGATCCCTATGTTCCCCAGTGTCCCTATGTCTCCCATTGTCCCAACTTCTCAGTGTCCAACTGCCCCCTAGTGTCTCAGTGTCACCAAGTGTCCCTATGTCTCCCTGTGTCCCCAATTGTCTCACAGTCCCCATCTCTCATAGTTCCCCTCTCTCACAGGTCCCCCAGTGGCTGTGTCCCCAGGTCTCCCAGTGCCCCCTAGTGTCTCAGTGTTCCAATGTCTCACAGTGTCTTCCGATGTCCCCTAGTGTCTGTTTCCCCATGTCTCCATGGGGAAACCTGAGCTTTGGCTGTTTTTGCAGGCTCAGAGCTGCTGTCTGGACTTTCTGTGCAGAGCTGCTCCCCTGTGGATCAGTGAGTAGAGAGAGGTATTGGCCGGCGCTGGTATTGCAGAATAATCTGTTTATACGGAGACTGACATTTGTATTGCCGGTATTACTGCAATACCGGCACCGGCTAGGCAGCCTCAAATACCTGAGAAATACTTCTGAGAAATATCTGGCAACCCTAAGAAATACCTGGCAACCCTAAGAGTAGTGTGTATGTGTAAAATCATTTTTTAAATCAATGGGCCTATTCTATGGGCTTGGGCCTGGATCGGCAGCTCCATCAGCCACTATGTTAATCCGGCCCTGCTGCGGAGCAGCAAAGAAAGAGGAAATAGTTGGTTGGGAGGAGCCTTTTATGGATTCCTGAAGTTTTTGTCTTTGGTGTTTTTCTCTCTATGTTAATGTGCTGCTGTGGAGTTCCAGTAAAGAGAGACTTAAGCAAATATGAAGCCTCCTGTCATGTTATAAAATTATATTTGTTAGTTAAAATTATAGCAGGGTAAAACAAATCTTTATGTTCATCTGTAAGATTATGTCACTTGTTATGGTTTTTTTGTTTGCATTATGCAACATATTTACTCTGAAAATCTGTGCAAATACGGCATACTTCTAACTAGTGAAGCATTAAACATCACATATTATAATGGTAGCTTCCTCCTCTGAACTTTTTCCTTAAACACATCTATGCTGTCCAGTTTCACAAAGTAATTATGTGTCAACAAGATAATAGAAGTAATTTATCAGTATTCATTCATGTAGTGTTAACATAAACTCCATGGTGTGCCTGTGACGGTAGTAGAAAATATCCCCGTCAAGCATTCCCTTCTTCCCATAAAAGAAAAAGCACTCAATATTCCATAAGCAGAAATATCCCTGGAATCGCCGAATAATCCACACATGAGCCAAAGCTTAATGCTGGAACAAGACTGATTTACTGGCACACAGAACTCACAATTTATGCAACTCAAAACTCCTCCTCTGGGCCAGGCTAGATAATTGAGTTTCTACAATACACAAAGCTCAATTATC